TACATTCCCGAATTTAGTTTTCTGTTTCCTTTGGTCTCAGCTAGCTATTCGGACTTGCCACATACTCTTGCCAGCTGCCATGTATCGTCGCCCGAAATACATTTTTAAACTATTCTTAATTTCTCGTTTTGCTAATAGTGGAACGGAAATATTTTAAAACTATTTTTTTTAAGTAAAACCTTGTACAAAATTACAATTTTTATTGAAAAACTTGGAGTTGGTTTTATGAAAATGGCAATTAAACGCCCCCATATTTTTGAAATTTGAAGCTTTTTTTTCACAGAAAATCTTTGAGTTTTCGAAAAACTTCATTATAAGTCACTTGAAGCACTTACTGCGTGTGAAATGTTTAAAAAAAATCACGTTAGAGTAATTTTCGGAGAAAAAAAACAACCCAAAAATGAAATTTACGTTATTTAAAAAATGTTTTTCAAAAGCTTCAATCCGAGGCAGATGGAGAGGATATTTTTCAATTTGGGAAATAATTGTACGTATTGTTTAGGCGCAAGTAGTGTTCACAGACGGACGTTTCGAAAAAAACTACTTTTTCGATGTTAGGGGATCCCAAACCGTGTATTTCCGTTGAAATCTCGAAATCGATTTTCCGTAGCATTACATAATTTTCCCTACACTACGTAATTTTTTGATACATACTACGTACGTATACACGAAAGTAAAAATGAGTTTCACTGACGACAATACGGTACTTTTCCCTGTAGCATTACTGCACTTTGTCTGTCGTTTTTATCATTACGTTGTAGTAATACACAAACAAATGCGTATGTTACAGCTTATGTCCAAATCTAATCCACAGATTAACGTGTTAGTGTTCACATTATTTAAAATTGGTGGAAGAAGTCCGAAGTGGCTTTTAGAGAAGGTGAAGTATGTTCTCAATAACTAAATTTTTGAGGTTACGTGATTGAAGAATTTTTTCACAACAAAATCTAATCCCATTAACAGAAAGCAAGGGCGAATTTGGGTTCGAGTGAAAATGCATTCACAAATTCATAGAAAATCTCTATAACAATATTGATAAACCCTGCTTTGGAATGTTTAAAAATTGACAAAGGTAAAAAACTATAAATTCCATTCCACATTAACAGTTTAATTTAGAATACCTAATATTGTTTATAGATATTTTTTTCTCTCTCTCTTTTTACTTCTTAGTATACAAATTACGGTACTTACAATCCAAACCAGAGCAAAACATTATGTAGAACTAATCTCTTATTGGTACAAAACAACTTAATTGCTAAGCATTTATTATTATAATTTGGGTGTGGATAAAAATTATCTACAAACCTTAAGACCAGTTGCTAATTGTGATCACCATTGGGGTTGGAAACAATGTGACCTCTGGATTTTCTGTAATTATAGACTATCAAAACCTAACCTAACGAAGTGTTACATTACTTTCATATACAGATTGTTCTGTTTATATTTAATTATTTTAACAATTTATTACCATGGTGATAATTAAAAAACGTTAGTTACATTTCCTGCTAAAAGTGAGAACTGTGATTTTCTTGTGTGTTGTGTAAGGTAATTTAACAATATTATTTCTTGAAGAATGAACTTATATATTAAAATGTATTATTTCAATTACGTTATATGCAACCACTGAATAAAAAAATAAATCCTAATTCAAATCTGTCCTTTTTCTAACATGAATATGGCTTTAAAAAATAATTTCTAGCATCTGATTATTTTCACTGAATGACCAATTTAAAGAAAAATGTACAATCAGGAACTCATTGATGAATTACCTAATCATTTGAAACTTTAGAAAAATGCCAAGAAATGTCTCTATAATACCTTTTTAATTTTCAGACAGTGTGTTATAAATTCAATACTATTTAATACAGAGCTTTTTTCTTGTTGCCAAAACTTTTGGGTGAATTTGATATTCAATTTTTACTTTCTCATACACTACTTATGCAGTATAGTGAAAGTATTATAATGCTGCAGCAAAAAGAGCTATATGACCTCAGAAGACACATTTTATTGTGTTTTTAAGAACTGTGAAAAGTGAAATCTTCATTGAATTGTCTTCTGACTGGCCAAGTCAATAAAACCTTCAAAAGTCATTACATAACTTTGATTAAATTGGTTGATATTAATATGGGAAGTAGTTACTTTAATTTTCCAGAAAGAAAAACATTTTGTCTTTTTGCATTAGTGATGACCTTGAAAGTTTTGTATGGTGATTTATACATGTACAACATTAGTAGTACTCCAGAGGATGTTTCTTAACGACAAGAATGAAATGTTTTTTTTCAATAAAAGCACTAGGAAAATGTAAATAATTCATCAGGTCTCTGAAAACAAGCCTTACAATAAAACAAAAAGAGGAATTACACAAGAATGAAGACCTTGTGTATCTGTAGCACTAATCTGTTGGCAACTGTATTCAGCATTGACAATTAGAGGGAAGTGTCTTTAATTTGTAAACATAATCACTGAAATGGACATGTAAAGACTTATTCCAGCATATCTAAGCCCACAACTGTTAACTAATTATAAAACATTTTGAAGAGTAATTGTTTTAGTTTCTTTGCTTAATTTCAAGCAAAGTTGCACAACGTTCTACAAAACTTAACCTTTCCCTTTACGAATGATATCTTGCTTCGAGAAAACAAATTGCCTTTGCACAAACTAATACAGTACACAAATAAGTATATTTACAACTAATATCAATCTCAGAAAACAACTGTTTTCAGAAAAATTAATTAATATTGCACACTTCTTGAAAAAAATAATTACAAGCTGCCAAATATTGGAGAAAGAAGGCAGGATAAGGAACGCATTTATTCATTATTTCTGCAAGATAAAAACTGAGAAATCATATATTACTAATAGTTTCAGTTTCTCGAATCACATAGGAACTTGAGTTTCCCTTATTCTTCCTCATTCCAAACTACTATATATTTGTAGTACATGGGAAGGAAAGTCGACTGGTAACAAAATGCAAGCAATAAGGTGCATATTTTGTTGGTGACTTAATAAAATATTTTTATTCCCAAAGGAGTTTGTAAAATACAGACTGTAGGAATGTCAATCCTACTTACTTTGCTGAATATTTCCTAACACCAATGCAAATGACAGTATAACCATTGGATTAACCATTCACAGCTGTCAGCATATTATGAATTTTTTTTGGAGCAAAATTCACTTCTGGCATGAAAGTTAAGGAATTCATCATACAAATTGATCTCAAATGAACTCTTTGAGTTCCGAGGTATCTACGTTTTCACAATTGTTTCTTTTCACCCTTTATGAATCTAAGATTCTTATTCCATAATTTCTTTCAACATTTATCATTATTCAAGGACACTTAAACCTAGAAGACTTTCAATTATACAAGATGTTTACAGAATTTAAGGTAGTTAATTGGTATACACACATTAATCATGAGCTAAGGAATATTACAAGGGATATAATAATAATACGAAACTATTAATGCATAACTTTCAATTTGCCAATATGCAGCATACACAGCAGAACATGAATATTTGTTAATACTTTTCCAGTGCATTACAACTTGCTCTCCAGTGAACATGGACGACAGAGGTTTCATCAGCACTCTCAGTCTTGTATTCTAATTAAAATTAATATGCCTAAAAATGCAATTTCCATGACAATTTTTGCAATAATAATTCAATTTCACAAATAGGATTATTTAGCTGACTGGATAACAAGTTATAAAAAAAACTGGCAACCCATGCTGTTCCACAAAAACAGCAAAACCTACAGGTAATGTTTATTTTTTTTTGTAAGGATATAAACTGCAAAATTTTGTAACCTTCAACAAACTCATCAATCCCACAGTATCTTACAATTGACATAGGCCAAATAATTGGTATTGAAGTAATTATTTCTTCCTGCAATACTTCCATAACTAATATGTATATCTAAGTTATTAAATCTACTTTTACTAAAACTTTTAATTTGTAAGGAAAAAGGACTAGGTTAAGCTGAGAGGAACATGTTGAAAACTCTTGTTGACCCACAATTCCAATAAGCTGATTTATTTATAACCATATACTTAAAAATGAACATCAGCAACTAATGCACCACTAGTCAAATTAATGTGTCAAGAAGTAAATATTTTACAAAATTTAGGTGCTTTGTTTTTGTCCCAATTACTTTTAGGATCTTCTTTTGTTACTAAGTATTGATACTGATTTCACTACATTGCAGATGCATTGATTATATAAAAGACAATTGGTAACACATCTACATAGTTTAAAATACAAGAATGTACTTTACACTTACATTAAACAAATGGAAACATACTCATTAATAATGATTTCCTGTGTGACAATAAGGCTCTATATTCTGCAAAACCATTTACATCAATTGTTTATGAAGCACCTTCTTTTAGTGCCTAAAAAATCCTCATTTATCAATGGTCATATCTTTTCATTAATATATTTGTCTAGTACAGTAATGTGCTTGTTTACATACATCAACATGTAGATTGAAATGTCCAGACAGAGAAACCTTATATTAAGTTTCAAACCCAATTTTTTGCAATATTTCTAATTTACAAATCAAAATACTTTAATAAAAAAAGTACTCATTACCCATTTACCATACTAGTCAGGAAAACCACTTATAACAAA